TAATCGCCTGATAGTGGTCCTTCAATCTATTTGGCCTTTTTCAATCGTCATGCCAATTACCATGGGGGTAAAATACTTAACGATTTTTGTACACATCAAAAGGTTTTCTAATGGGGCGAAGTGATTAAAGGCTTCTCTGTCAACGAGTAAGAAAACCTTTTTCGATTTTTTTAACTCGCATCAAAAACAAAACTTATCTAAAAACAATGTAGATTGTGTATTTTTAGAAAATCTTTATGGCGATCGTAAAAGGTACATTGATCAGGTGGTCTTCAATATTTTACTGAGCTGTGAGTAAATTAAAGCAAATTTTCTTGTTTTGATGTATGCCGAAATTAAAGAAAAAAAGGAAATAAAAGTAAAAATAAAAGATTGGAAAAGAGAAATTAAAGGATACCCACTTGTGGTGGTCGAAAGCGTAGTGAAGTCGGACTGGTGATGCTTCGCCAAGTGATTTAAGGAAGGAGACAGTCAGGATGCAAAAGCACAAGAGATTAGAAAGTGGTCTGAGAACTCCGAACTGAGGTTTTTCATAAGAGGCCAAGAGCAGGTCTCGAGATGGAATAATTGGAAAAGATAAAGAGAGGACCGAGGCGGCATAAGAGGGAAAACAATTTAAACTTGCCAGCACAAAAAACACAAAAACAATAACTGGGGGCCCAAAGATGCCCGTTAATAATTCTGACAAACCCATTAACAGTTTAAACCAACACAGGGTAAAAAGGTAATTTATTAATTATAAGTGTGATAATAATGATGATGAGAAGGTTGGCATTGTTCCTAGTTCCTTAGTTCAGTTCAATTTACTCGATCCTTCTTTTAAAAAGGGTAAGTCTTCTAGGTTTAAATGATCATGCTAACCAATATGTTTTCTTACGCTCTTCCTCATTGCACACACCTGTTGGGTAGATGTTTTCTCAGATACAACACCTTCCTGAATTTTACCCTTTATTTAGCAATGTGTTTGCCAGTTTTGACAAGGGTTCTTTAACCTTACGATGTTTGATCATTTTAAAATTTGTCTCCTTCTCCTTATATCTGTAGATCCTTTCTGAAATAAAGAATCTTTCATTTGACCTCGCTATCCCAATTATAGGTTCTATACCTTCAGATCCTCTTCTAGTCAGTTTGTCTTCTTGCTCATTACCAAAATTCCATTTTTAACCCATGATTTTATTAGACGATGTCTTGCCAAGTTGTGGAGGTTTGGGGTGAATTCATCGACTACTTTGTATGACGTATCTGACAGGTATCTTGACGTACTTTTAAGGCTGATTAGCTATCGATCTTATGATGAATTTTAGTCAGTGTAACCACTTTTTAGATTTTCTATCGTTCAACTCGATAGCATTTATTTCAGCTTAAAAATGGTGCGTTTCGTAATGAGTTTGATTTATCAAATTTTTGTCTTGTCTGGGACCAGGGTAGAGATAACGAACGAGATCGAACTTAACTCCTCCATCACAAAACGTGACAGCACCAACCAAACGTCAAGTCCGGCCTCTAGAGGTTCTATACATAGTAAAACTGGTTCAAGAACCCTGGTCAACATCAGCTACAGTGACACGATTAAACAAGGCAAAATTCAAGGCTGTATACAGCTCAATCCACCTGAGAAAAAATGAGTCTATTGGTTAATTCATTGATAGCTTTGCCAATTTCCTTCCCAACTGTCGATAGCATGTATTTCGGCATGAAAGTTGTAGCGATTTTCTCTAATGAGTTTTATTGCTCTTGACGTTGTTGGTATTTTGTTCTTGACCCTGTCACCCATCTGTATACCATATAATTTTATTTCATTTTACTAACTCTTTTAATCTGTTAAAACCTTAAAGGATGAAGTGTGATAGTAGTGACCAAATATTGGTTTGTCAATCGACGACAACAGTTTGTCCAACTCCATGGAATTTATCAAGGGGGGGGGGGTGAAAAATAAAAGACGATGTCATCATGCATTTGTTTATTTACCTGTCTTTACCTCAAATATAAATGAGGAAGAAGGGCGTAAAGGAAAATCGTAACATAAAGACAACGAAAATGATTTTTATATTGTTACATACATATGTGTGATTAAGATTTTTCCGTTTCTTCCACAAGCCATCCATTTAGATTAAAAAAACCGAACTTACTTCAATATGGGAAGAACGAATAATGAAACAATCTTTTTAATGAAAGAGGCTGCAAAACTTACTTTTAACGTTTCGAGTAATTAAGTGATTATAATATGTTTCATATAAATTTTTTAATAAATTCTATAAAATAAGTATTATTTATAAATCGAAGAAATTATTTAACGTGGCTTATCACCAGCCACCTTGTTTTTTATAATATAAACTTTGATTTACCTTTAACACATTTATGTAATGTATTGCATGTTCTAAAGTGAGCTAGCTATGTTTAGACACATCCAATACAATATTGCACAACCTTCGTAAGTATCTTTAAACAGCCACATTTACATCTCTTTTTATATTCAATATGATAACATTGGCTCCACTATGAGTGAACGAAACAAAACATCTATGTACATTAACAAAAAATTTAAAACTCACGATACACATTGACACGAAAAATAGGTAATAAAAATAAAAATTTAACAACAAAACTTTGGTTTATCTAAGTGAATTACAGCCAAATTGAAAATTAAAAATATAATTTAACTGTTTTTGTTGTAATGATTTGTAAATAAATAATAAAATTTATATTTAAAGCAATATACAATACATAAATATACACTACTTGATATATTGATGAAGGGATTGAGTTGTGCTCTCAATGTACAATATTAACAGATGTAAATAGAACATTTTTTAATGGCACTGAAAAATGTTAAAATTAAAAAAAAAAATAGCGTAACAAACAAAATTCTCATTCAAATCTCTCATATATAATATCAATAAATGCAAGAATAAAATAAGCGTTAACATTTCTTAGATATATATAATAATTGTCCTAATAATAACAATAATAGCAGTTGTTATTATTATTATTCATTTGACAAATATTGATAATATTTCAATAATAGATACAACAAATTTAAAATTTGCGAATATGGCAATTCATTTTGACAATATCTAAGATATGCATTGTGGGGGAGTAAATGCCATTGTCATAATTGAACACCTAAAAGCAATCATAAAATTGATTTTTTTACGAGAAGATACGTACATGCATGGTTCAAATTTGGGTAATTATTAATTTTGCATACTGGGTATTTTATCATATAAAATCGAAGTGTTGTTGCTCCGATGTGTGTTTCAAATTGATTCAAATCGGTCACATTTTCACTTCATTCGATCAATAGGAGAAATAATCAATTATGTACATTACTCTCAACAAAGCAAACCTGGAATCAATCAACATACGGAAAAGGATTGAAAAGCATAAGGGACGGGGATCTTGAAATGGCGTAGGGTGAACTTTGTTTTTAATGGAAACCTGTTGATTTAAACTAACGTTAAACTTAAATTCTGGTATGCTCTGCGTAGAAAGAAGGCACAATTAATGCTAAACTTAATTTTTAATTATTTCTCTTCGAACAACAATATTCATTATATATATATATATATATATATATATACATATATGAATCTCTGTGCTTATAGATTCTATTTTCTTAAAGACAACAAGGTGAAATGCAATGAGGAAAACACGAATTTTTTAAATTCCTATTGGGGATACATTATCACTAGCGATATTATGGCTACAAGAGTGATTATACTAAAAATACAAAATATCCTATTTGTACTATTTTGGGCTAACTACTCGATACATTTAGGAAAACTGGTTATAAATTTTCTTGTGCCTCCGGCTATGTATAATTTGAGTTAGCTCCAGATTGAAGAACGCAAAATGAGACAGCTTACATTACTACAGCCACGCTCACTCGCGTAATACAATTTATTCTTAAATATATAGCAAGCTTTCAACGAAATTGGACCAAACAAAAGATTGTCTCGGAATCAGAAAAGGCGGTGAAATGGTAAAAGCGGGGGGCGGGGCAAGTAGAGATGTGACCGAAATCTCCCTCAGGTACAAGAGGTGACAGAACACGTACTTTGAGCCGAGTTTATGACAAAATGTAGAAAAGAAAACACCTATGCAAAAGCGGCAAAAACCGCACATATATACAAATCTGCTCGTGTTGTCATAATTCTTCGACATACATACATTTTTAGTTTGGATTTCATCACATTTACTCACTTTTTTATGTCATTTACCAAAAACTACCAACTATGAATTCAGTTTTCCTCACATCGGCTGACATGAGGTTCCCGCAACTCGATCATCCTAAAAAGGACTCTGAGAATCTTTAACGTCCGCACATAGCCTATTCGGCCTTATCGGACTTTTGATTCTCAAGATGAGAGCTGACGCACCTCCGCGTACGACAGGATGGTGTTACTGCCGCAGCAATGGTGTAAAATCAGCTCAGCCCCGAAGAGCCAATACAACCTCGCTCCCCGCTTGTCCATTTAAAGTGGCTGGGCCTGCATTGGGTATCAGACCGTATGCCGCGCGCAAAGGGCTACCTAAGCCAAAATACATCAGCTCGTTCTCCCCGCACTCCCTAGATAGAGAAGGCGACTCTATCTCCCAGAGTTTTGGGGCTCCTCTAGCGTCGAAACTTCCGGATCCGCTCCGGCCGTGGTTTCGTTTAAAGTAGAATTTCTAACCACCCCTTAGAGGAGTACCGCCTATCGAGCTCAGCCTATACCTACGTGCAAAGCATACTCGAGTAGGAGCAACCGATTCACTACCCGTTCCCATCCGCCACTACTCACGCATTCAAGGGACTTACCAGCACAATCATCGCATCCTCAACGCCTACTTGCTGCTGTCCGATCCGCCGTATCCCGTGAAGCCGGGTGTATAACGGTGGTCATACGCAAGTTTCGTGCGAAGGTCACAGGTAGAAGACAACCTCTTCTCTAAGTTCTCGCCACCACAAGCCAGTACGAATCCATTCCCAGTGTAACAGGGGCTGGATTTTGGAACATTTCTGTTACCCGGTAGTTCAGATGGTTATGCACCCTCCCCCGTCTGTGCAGAATCTGGTACCCTAACCCTCGTCTGCCTGTGATAAGGCACCAGCCGCTCATGCCGACCCGAGTACAGCTTGTGTTTAGAGAGGTTGCCAGGCTCTCTGGGTTACACCTTTATTTTGCGCCCGGACACCACCCTTGTAACCAAGGGTTGGGAGGGGGTAACAGGATAGAATGAAGGAACCTGGATTGAGAAAGGGTCGTGGATGAGGACTCGAGGTGGATCGTTTCGGGGTCTCGAGTCTTACCCACACTATACCACCCGTCGTCGCCGTAGTACCACAACTCCCCGGGTGGGTGACATCGGGTGACAATCGAATAACTGAATGACAAAAGAAGACTTGCTTTTTACAGATCCTACGATATTGCGAAGGAGTTAGAACATTACTATTCGTCCCTCTGACACTTTCCATTTTTGATGAATAAAAAGACTCGATTTTTAGGAAGATATCCTTCCAATCTATGAGTCACGTAAAGGAATGCTATTGACCCTTATCTACCCCAGTCGTCTGCCAGTAAAATTTATATTACTTTTCAATAATTTTTACTACTAATTAGTCTGTTGTCCCTTATTTGAAGTTTTAATAACTAAAAGAAAATGTCATAGGAAGAAAAGAAGACTTGCTTGTTCAAAATTATCTTTCCAAGCTTTGAGTCATGGAAACACAGGGAAACTTGCAATCTTATGACGCCTTCGTGTCATATTCGTTGTCCCGTTACTTTCTGAGCTGACGTTTGTACTCTTTTTTCATGTAATTTCCTTTTTTTTAAGTTGTGAGTAATAACGTATCCTATCTAAATGGAAAAATAATTTTATTACACCTATTTTTAAAAATTTAAAAAGATCCGACGCTCAAAATTATGGGCCAATTAATAAAATTTCCAAAATTCCTATGATTTTTGAAAAATTAGTAGCTATAGAGTAGTACACTGGATGTGCAAATTCACCAACGAATTTGCCATTCTACCGAACTATTTGGCTCAAGTTCATCAAGCGTGGAGATTGTTCAAAGAAAGCAAAAGCAATACATCTTTCCCTTTGTTCAAGGCGCATTCGAACAGTACTGCATTCCAATCCAATCTCAGATCATGATGATAATGATGACCATGACCATTATGGTCAACAACGCACTGGTTTCGTTGACCAGACCACACTCCCTGGGTCTATCTTGATCATAACTCCAATAATCACCGACATTTCTATGTTCAAATGCCGGAAACAAGATTCCACGTCTAGGTCCTAGGAACACCTTGACTAGCAACATTGGGGCCTACTAAGAAAGCGGATCTCCCGATCGCTTTGTTGCTGGATGCTTGCATGTTCAAAGTGGACCCACTTGTACCCTACCTGACAAGAAAAACCAGAATAGGTATTTCAGGAGTCATGGGATCATCTCATTAAGTCTTTAAGCGCTCAAACTCTCATATTTTACATGATTGATGAAGAAATCATGCCAGTTCTAGATCAAAGAATCATTTCTGTCGCCACGGGCAAAGCCTGTCGTGTATTGTTTAGTTGTTTGTATTTTTTATCATATTTCTTTTATGAAATTGTGTTGATTGAAAATACTTAACATAACTATTGCACTTGGTCACGTTATGTATTGTATGCCTACTACGCCATCTATCTACGTCAATTGTAGGACACACTAAGTCAAAACATTTCACATTGCGCCTACAGGAAACCAAACGATAACACTCTAAATTAGTATATAAATCCTCTCACTCAAAACATTTCCTATGACATCTTCCTCCAAATTGGTCTCTAAATATTTCCCCTTATAGTGACTAGTTTATTTGAGAATAACTGTAAATGCGCGACGTATGCAACGGACAATCATTAAAATCGCCAGCTGTGATTTTTGGATTAACCCCTACAGGAAATGTTCGATTAGTTTTTTTTAAAGGGTCTAAAACAAAAAATTATTTCTAATTGTTAAATCAGGGAACTAACTTTTTGTTCAAATACTGACCCACATTTCATAAATTCGAGGGGGTATTTAGGCAGACAACGCATGTATTCCACGTATAACGATTATATTCTAGCCCATACAATATTATATAAATAACCATCTAAACTAAGGGCTACAATTACACATCGACATCTAATTTGTCCACAATGGAAACACTACGCTTTTTCTTTTCTTTAAAAAACATGCAGCTTTTAAAAAGCATAAGCTAATTGTTATAATTGTTTTAACATTATTTGAAGCAACTTCAATATTAGCATAAGGCGGTATCTTTCGATATACCGTTTTTTACACTTACGATGAACAATACAAGAGTATTTACGTTCATTGGGCCTAAGTGTGAGATGAGCACTCTTTAAAGGATATGTACCTAAATCGAGATTCTATACATTAGAAGAGTAGTTATTTAAATGCGATTAAATAAGATGCGATTTGGTTTTTGTCGTACAAAAAAATTGAAAATTCCTGTCTAAATATTGACCCTGTGTCTAACCCTGTCAGTGGTTTAAAATGAATAAACAATTAATTTATAACTCGAGTTAAAAGAAAATGTCCAAAATTCTGTCCACGAAGTGAAATAATTTTGTAATCAACGAACAGGATTGGAAATACTTTTTTTTTTTTAATGTAAACTCTAAAACCGTGTAAATTCAGTACATGAATTACACAACGAAGTAGATTGTTGGCAATGTTTGAAATATAACATTTTTTTGTAGACTTTTCTACAGAACGATCCTAAAGATTTTACAAGTCAGAAACCAAGTAAAATAAAGGGTGAGAAAATTGTAGAAGAAAGACAAGAATCAAGGAAGAAGGGACGTCCGAGAATATTTAGTAGTTTGAGAAAAAAGACTGGAAGAAAGCTTTGTTAAGGTATAAAAAGCGCTACTTTTACAAGGATGATCATAAGCTTCTGCCAAGCAGTTAGGCGGTTGTGGACATGGTATAAGAAACACCAAAGGAAATTTTCCGAAGGAGGTTCAGGAGAGAAACGAGGAAATTCATGATAAGGAAGTACACCCCGATCAGGAGGATTTAATGAAGAATTGACGGGATACGAAATGAGTTGCTAAGGAGGGATATCTGAACTCAAAACATTAAATCGGAGGCTTGGAACAAAGCTGTTCTTTGCTTCTATGGAAGTGAATCCTAGGCTGACAAAGTGGGATGAGATAGGATTGTGGACTAGCAGTAGGACTCTAATGGTGCTCCAATTAAAGAAGATCAATAATGGATCAAGTAAGGAGTCCATCCTGTTAAAGCTTGTGGGACTGTTGAAAACGACCTGGAATAATACAAATCTCAGGTGAAGGTGGGGGTGGTTTCAAGTCACAGGTAGGTTGAGATAGCAGAACATTAATGTTGGAAGGAACTGACTGAGATAGACCGGTGCAGATTCAGGAGGAAAAGAAGTAGGAGTAAGAAACTGATGGCATACGGAAGGATCGTACAGCTCCAGGAATTAACGGGATCCAAGCTAACTAACTTGAGCATGGGGGAAAAGCCAGGGTGACTTACGTATACGAATTAATAATGGATATCTGGTCGCAGGAAACGGCAAAGCTGTTTTTGTCAAATTTATGAAAAAGGTGACAGACATGGGAAAATTATCATGGTGTTGTTTGTAATTCTGCTGTTGGTATATCGTGGTATATCAAATACTCTCCGTAATAGGTCTATCGGAGGCTGACAATGGGCTGAGAGACGATTACTACTAGAGTGCTTCAGGTTAGAGGAGATGAACGATGGGCTTTTTATTTATTTTTGTTTTAGGAGGGTATTTCAACTACGAGGTTATATAAACTCTAGGAATGCCGGTTTTTGAAGAAAGCCCATTTGTAAGTATGTCAGATTCGAATGGAGGGCCGCTGAATTCGAACCCGGGACCTTTCCTTACAGTGATGAGCACCCTGTTAACGCCTAAACCGTTGCGGCCGCCGATGAACCCGGACGATGCACTTAATATGCTAACTAAGCTACAGTTGGAAAAAAGCTTTGTCCACAATGTGAGCTACTATCGCCTGTTGGTAGATTTTAGACAAGAGTACGATTCCGTAAATAATGAGATGGAGAAGAGGTCGTTAGGGGTCCCGTTAAAGCTTGTGTGACTGGCCAAATAGCATGGAATGAACAGCGGGACACTTTCAGTTGCTTAATTTAGGAAGAACCGAAGGAAACATCCGAGGGGAGGTTTAGACAGATGGCATCACTGAAGATCCAGGAATTGACGGAATACAAGATGAGTTACTTAAATATAGCATACATGACGTGGTGATTCAAGTATACAAATTGGTAATGAATATCTGGACACAAGAAAATAAACCAGAAAATTAGAGGGAAAATGTTCTTTACTAAATTTGTAAGAAAGGTCCCGTTAAAGCTAGTGAGACTGGTAAAAATACGAGGTACATTTAAAGGATGGCAATCTCTTCTATCAGGTGGGATACGAATCCATTACCAACCATTCTATTCAATTTGGCCCACAAAAAGGCAATAAGAGAGATCCGGACGCACCTTGGTTCTAATCTATAATAGGTTGAATCAGCGCATGGCGTATGCTGACTACATGGTCATAACAGCGCACTTTACCAGCTCTATCATGGGCCCTAGAAAAGTTTGAAACTACAGCAGCATGTGCTAGCTTGAATGTCAGTCTGCATGAATTATATAAAAACAGCAAGGACTCAAGTAAACACGGAGAAAAAATTGATGATAAGAGAGTATACCTTCTAACTCTGCAGATGTTTTAAGTGCATGCACTGGTTTCTGAAAACAATAATAGTTTTCTATTCTTGCTTTAATCTCGGCATTTATATGCAGATTAAAGCAAGAATTCAAAACAATTATTTGACCCGTCGTTACGAAGCGAGAGCTGAGTGGACAAAAACAAGTGATATGACTCGAGGTGTATTAGAGAGTACGTCATCAGAAGGATGTTCAACCCGGTCTGTTATACTGTAATTTGAATATTCCCTAAAAGTCCAAAGCTGTTGTCGCTGCATGTAGGTAGCTAATATAACTGAGATGGAGGAAGACCTTAGGAAGGTGGGAGTATGTTGAGGAAAAGCGGAGAAGAGAGTAGTTTTTGATTATTAAGCAGGCCCAGGTCCAACTAGAGCATAGCACCAGCCAATAGGTTAAACGAAATGCTGAATCAAAAATATTATCCATAGCGACAACATTTCCTTTAAACCTTTTTCGTTAAATTCTAAATGCATTTAAAGTAACCAAATGAAATGTAAGTTAGTTGTTATTTTATTTTAAAACTTGCACTTTATACAAAACTAGTTATTTGTTTAAAAAGTCCCCCCTTTTACTAGTTTTTGGTTTTCATTAATAGATATCAACACAAATGACATCTACACCGCTCCACGCGGATGTCATTCTCGTTTGATCCAATTTCGTTTTTTGACCCCCTTTTATTTAAATGCGAGAGGAAAATAAGACTAAATAACAAAATCGCCTTCCCCTTCTGAGTAACAATGGGTAACCTACCGTTTTTGTTTTGTTGAAAAACGTCAATAGTATAATATTGAAAAATGGTAATAAAACGTGTCCCTATATAATAATATTAATTATGTCAATGTTTCTATTTACTATCACAATGTCCACAGATCCCACTTTTTCCGAATACTAATAATGAACAATTGTATTTATATATATTATAGTGTAGAGATCTTTACTTCTTTTAAACCTCCCATTGTTTTTTTTTTTTTATTTTTATAATAGATTAGATACTATTTAGCGTTAAAACTACTAAATGACTTAAAAAAATAAAACTAAAAGATACAGTCAACGTTATTTGGTATAATTTCAAAATGGTACTTATTAAGAGCGAAAATAAATTAAATAAAAAAATTAGAAACAAAAAGAAAACTAAAGTGCTTAAATATCTTCGCTCGTGAGTATAGGAGGTGGCGACGGTGGATGTCCGTTGGCGAGGTTTTCACCGTTCAGTTTGATTTCATTGACCGAATGAGATCGGTTGTGGTTCGGTTGACTAGTTATGGGAGCAAGATTTGCGGAATGGGACCTGGTATGCCCGTTGCCTCTGTTGTTGGTCGACTCCCTCAGGGCCATTTGATAGGCGACCTCAAACGCCTGGCCGAGGGTCAAAATCACCTCCGTCGCTTGGTCCTAGATCCAAAAAACGGTTTAAAAATAATAAACAAGTCTTTTTCTTCGACCGCACTTACCATAGTCTGCACGCAGAATACGTGGCAATAGTGAGATTTAGACGCGTGGTCTTTTGTAATGTAAGCGAAGTGCGTCAAGTCTTCGGCGTCCTGGCAGGCGCAGTGGATGTTCCTTATCTCGTGTTCGCAAACCAACTCCTGCAAAAGAACCAACTCATCGAATTGTCTCGGATGGTGTAAAATTTAACTCACCTGTGTGTCAGTGCTGAGGAATTTGACGCCTCGGTACGATATGGCTAGATAGATGTCCGGGGAAGAATTCTGCTCGCATTGGGGCTTCTTCAGTTTTTGAATAGATTTCTTTGTCGATTCCGTACCCCTCAATTCCTTCACGACCGTCGAGCCCAAATACTAGAAAATAAACGCAAAAATTCTAGGTGATTCGCTAGGAGAAAAGGGGCAAGTTGATACAAGCTTCGGGAGAAACGTCTGTCTGATTAGTTTTCCTGCCTTATGAAAATGTGCAAGGCTTCATTAAAGATGGGTTCGTCTCTTTTGATCAGAAATAAATCCATATGCAGATATTTCAATGTAATTAGTAAAACAACGCAAACTGTAGGGATTAAAAGTAGAAAAACCTGGAGCTCTTCTAAGGTATACAGATGGCCCAAAGATGGAAAATGAGACGATTATGGGCATAAAGCCACATAGTCTTCAGCTCCATCTCAACCATCTTTCATGCCGAATTGCTAGCCGGAGAAACATGTGCACATGAAACAAAGATCTCAAAGATGCAACAATAACAATACCATCAGATAGCAAGGCTCTCCAAGGGTAAAAAATTGGGATATACAAATTGCAAAAAGCTAGTTCGCTCGGTCATGGGGGGATTCAGGCCATGAGGCAGCACACATACTAGCTAGTAAAGGAGCATCGGAAAAAATCATAGACCCAAATCTTTTTTGTGGCATAAAATATAGCCACATTAAAAAAGAATAGGAATCATGAGTAACTAAAAATCATAGAAAATACTGAAAGTAAATCCTACTTATCAGAATGGAACTAAAAACTCTGATATATTTGCTGAACATGCTCCAGTAAAGTACCACATTGTAAAAAGGAGACTATCAATATACGCAAACAAAGAAACGCATTCTTGTGGAATGCAAACCTAATGCTGGTCAGCATTTTTTAGGGCCAGCTATGAAATAGCACATATCCCAGAAACATGGAGTCGAACAAGGGTGGTACTTATACCGAAAAAAGGAGGTCGCGCTTCAGATTCGGCAAAAGCGGTTCGACCCATAAGCCTAACTACTTTTGTTCAGAAGACAATGGTGAAAATTGTAGGCCAAGAAATTAAATATGTTCATTTTGTAAAAAATCTTCTCCATGACCAACAAGATCATAACAAAAGGGAAAATCCACGGAGACTTCCTAAATATATTGGAAGAGCATGTTGACAAATCATAGGAAGATAAGGAGATAACATTCTACTGCTTTATGGACATAGATGGAGCCTTTGACAACCCCTCGTTGCTTTGTCATTTACAACGGCTGTACAAAGAAAAGAGTGGATACATATTATGTATATTAGCTATGCTAAGAAGTGGGCAAATAAGCGCTGAACTTGATCAACAGACTTTACAAAAAGCACCTACCCAACGAGGGGTAATATAACCACTTCTTTGGTTGCTAGTAGGTGATGATCTAATTAAATAACTTAACGAGTTAGGATTCCGTACCATAGGTTACGCAGATAATCTGATAACAATCATTAAAGGGAAATTTGAAGACACTGTCAAATAAGATGCAAAACGCCGTAAACACTGTAGGAAGATAGAGTGAGAAAAAAGTTTAAATATAAAACCTAAGAAAACATGCCTCATGCCTTTCACAAAAAGAAGGAAACTCAACATAAAGGCTCCCACTATAAAAAGTGAAGCCTTAATTTCCTCAATAGAAACAATATACCTTCGTATAAACTTTGACCAAAGGTTCAAATGGAGAAAACATATAGGCAACATTCTGTATATAGCCAAGTCTCTATTAAGCATTGGCCAAAGATTATGCAGTAAAAACTAGGGAATAAGCCCAAAAATGGCGTACAGGTTATTCATCACAAAGGTCAGACCTTATGAAGCTCTAGCGTGGTGACCAAAAATCACTGAACAAGGAGCGACAGACAAAAACGACAAAATCTACCTGCAATGGGAACAGCACTCGACCTTCCACCTTTACATGATTACGTACAAAACGTTTTGAGAGTGTCAACAGACCCAAGATACAAGGGAAAAAGCTAGATCTAAGGAGATAGCCACCAAAAAATTCTGGAAAAATAAATCAGATGGCTATAACGTTATCTGCAAAATGAGAGAAAAACTCAAATTTGACAGACTCTTCCAGGTGGACATAGATACCAGAGAGATTTGGAAGAAAGGTGGCTCTAGTTTCATAAGGGGCCCTACACACAGATGGATCGATGATGGATGCGTAGGGATATAAGGGCCAAACTACACCCTAGCGAAGCCGCTTGTACCAACTACTTTCCAAGCTGAGATCCATGCAATACAACTTTGTACACAGTAGTGAATAAAGAAAAATATGAAAGGTGCACAGATATACATACTATCAGACAGCCAGGCAGCCATACAGGCACTAAATGCGTATGCTTTCAACTTCAAATTTGTCTAGGAGTGCTTAAAGGCACTTTCCGAGGCATTGCTTGAAGCTATAAGAGTGCGTTCATAAATCTGCTTAGGGTGCAGTGGCGGAAAGGATGGGGTAAACTATATACTATACCCCCGAGAAGAGAACGTCATTGTACAATGTACCTTACAAAGGAAACGAAAATTTTCAGGGAAAATCGTTTGCAGAGATCGGACATAACAGAAGAAAGTATAAGTGATGATAATGGGGAAAATCACTTGACTCCAAGTGAGAAAAAATGCATTATTTGTGATACGAAAAGGTCTCGTCAATGAGAGAATTTTTATTTTGAGGTTGTCGTGTGATGTCGTTAACATTCCGTACCCTTGCCAAGTAGGTGAGGTGTCCGGATAGAAGGGCGTGAGGCCTGTGCCTCCATTGGGCAGTGAGCGTTGAAGGAACGCCGACCAGGAGTTGTGAAGGATCTCTGATCTGCAGCTCAGGCTGCTTTCCTGGTGGCTGCGGGGCCGGCCTTGACTTCTTGTGGCTGTGCCTGAGAGTGCCCGTGTTTCCTGATGCCTGGGCGCTTCCGCTGGTGGGCGTGTTTGCCGCCGTCGGAGTCGTCGTCGTCGTCGGGGTCATTCCGGTGCAGGTCGTCACCTTCACGTGACTTTCTAGCTCTTGCATTGAACTTTTCTGCAACAGACAAAATTAATCATGAAAAATTCGTCTTCATCGACTAAAAAGACATAAGTGCAACGTTTGCGTGAGATGTTTCGTGACGGTTCCCTTCCGCATTCGGAAACCAAGGGCTATCGTAAAAGAAACCGCACGAGTTGTCAATTATCGCACATGACTTCGGCTTTTAATTTGTAATGTTACCCAAAGAATGAACATGGATGAAATTTTAATTAATTTAATTTTAATTAAAAACACTGTTNATATATATATATAGAGAGAGAGAGAGAGAGAGAGAGAGACTGGCAGAATTGATCACTCAAAATGCCTCGAATTTCTTCAATTTCTAGACCTGACTTTTTGTAACTAAATATTTATCATGCTACAATGTTATACGGCATGTAATTTAATTGTCACCGCGTGTTTTTGGTCTGTTTCTCCTCATTTGGTTTGTCTGTTAGACCAATTTCGCTATTTCAATATGTTCAGTTTTATGTCTCGCAGTTAGACGCACTCAGATGGTCCAGTTTTTAATATTTTTGGTTTACGATATGCGTGAGTTTTGACTAATCTTTGCAAGTTATCTGACTAATTCTACTACTATACTGACTACTTTATATATTTACGTTAAAGACTAGTACAACGACCGTTATGGTCTCATCACAGTTTTTTGACAACTACATTACATTTTATTGCTTTGTTTGCTTTCTTATTCGCCCGAGGGGAAAAGAGTCGTAAAAATTTAATGGTTTCATTATATTTTCCCATAACCCTAGGAGACTGTCCGATCCCATGGCTTTTTACGTGTGAGATCATGACCGACTTTTATTCTCACAGTACATAGTATCTAGGACTCAGTTTTTTTCTTTTCTCTTCAATCACGAACTCTTCTGACATGTGGTGATTTTGTATTAGAGATTAAATGAATCCATGAATTAAATGAGAATGGGTACAACTGTATAAACAATCGCAATAATTCAGAAGTTAAGGTATTAACCTAGGTGGTTATGCGTGGTGAGATATAATAACATTACTAATAATCCGATAGCTAACTAATTAACATGTGAAAATATCACACGGCTACATTCTTTTCGGCCTTTTTATGGGAAATTTTATAGTGGATTGTTAATATGGTGAAAAATTCAAGCTTGATGAGAAAATCGATTCTCATAAAAAGTCGCATTTGTTCAGTGTTCACATTACGTTAAATAAATACATTTATATCTCTAATTTGACAAGTACAAAATTTAATATCACAGACGCAATAGTTGACTATTTGACGTTACAAAAATAATTTACTTATATTATATTTTAATGACAAGCTGAGTAATTTTTTATCACACTAATAACTTGTAAATCGTAAACTCTCCAAGTGGATGGATTCTAAGAATCGGGAAAATTATATTCCGCACTTCTGGATCTTCTCTATCTAAGCAGAGATCGCATTTGAACACCAGATGGTTCCAAGTTTTCCAGTTCCAATGACAGGAGTGGCAATGTGAAATCGTTGTAGGTATGTCCGGCATTCTCCATACTCTACCATAGCCGTGGTCGTTATGGTCTTGTTACTAAGGTTGATATGGATTCTAGACATCACTATAGGAAAATACATTTTTGTAATTGCTCCTTTGTTCGTCTCAGCCCATTCCTCTTCCCATCCCTTCATTGTCATTTTCAGGATTTCTTGTTTAACGTAAGTTATTGGAACTGTTGAGTAGGTCACTTCCAGATTTTCCTCCATTCCTGCCTGTTTTGCTTACTGCATGCCAATTCAGTCACTGCCAGTGATGCCGATGTGGGCTTTAACCCAGTCTAGCTTCCCTGTTCCTCAATTGATGGTTCTGAAGTATCTTCAGGGTGTGTACGTTATGGGACTGCGGTGATAATGGGCGATACAGTGTGGCCAAGGCAGGGCGGTGGAACCTGAAAAGATGAGCCGCCTCAAGTCCTCGGTCACTTCCATTTCTCAATCCAGGTCTTTCGGCACACTTCCTTGAGACTTCTCCCAACCCTTGGATGCAAAGGGTGTAACCAGGCGCAACATAATGTGTAGCCTTGAGAGCGTGGCACCCTTTCTAAAGCTCTAGCTGGATTCGTGTCGGCCTCCGGGTGCCTCAGAGGCACACGAGGGTATCAGATCCTGTCAGAAAATGTTCCAAGTCCAAACAGCAAAACATGGGAATGGACTCGCAGTGGCTTAGTGGCGAGGCTCCTGGCGAGAACTTATTGTGAACCTGTTCCCCGAGGGTGCCGTTAGCGGTTTCCTTCCGAGGCAGTGCTCCTCTAGTGGGTGGTTAGACATTCCACTTTAAACAAAACCGCGGCCCGAGCGAATCCGGTAGTTCTTACGACAGAGGAGCCCCAATACTCTGGGAGAGAGTTGCCTTCTCTATCTAGGGAGCGCGGCGGGAGATCATGATCCCTTTCCGGGCGGCACACGGTCTGGTGTTTAATGCAGCCCCATCCACTCGAAATGGGCAAGCGGAGAGTGAGGCTCGTCTCGGTCTTCTGCACTAAAACGTGCGGCTGTAACCAAATCCAGTTGCGAGCGTCATCTCTATCTTGAGAATCAAAACGTCCGTTAGGGCCGAAAATGAAAGATCCTCATGTCCGAGTACAAACGGGAACCTAATGTCCGAAACAGTTAATACCAAAAAAGCATATCCCATATATGGTGTTGCCAATCTTGTTACCATCAGGGTAAATCTTGATGTCGGTATTGATTTCCTTGGTGTTTTTGCGGATCATTCAATTTTCCGCTTGGTGTGACCAATTTCGTACTTTAAGTGGACTCTCTATTATATGGTTATCTTAGGTTATATTTTAGTTTAAAGTAAATAATACCAATACTGATGCCTGATACAAGTAGAAAAACTTAAAAAATTTATTAACTCCGTAAAGTGGCAACATTGAAAGATCTCCTGATTGTCCTTCAGTACCAAAGTGGATATTAAGCAGCGTAATTATCATGGAAACTTTCATTTTTGTGCCTTGTACATACGAACGTAAATTCCCGTATGTTATTATAAATATTTTAAAAAGCTTTCATTCACAATTTGAAGAATTCACGCTTTGTGACGAATGACGCCAGCCGATTAATATCTTTGTGTAATATCAATGAGGATATATAATCAAAATAATATTTAAAAACGCCGAAGTAAAGTCATACGGAAGAAACTAGTAAATATTGTGTTTGGGCCCGACGTGGGATCACAATCCATGTCCAAATTTTTTTTCCAATTGGCCAATTAAAAAAAAGTAATATAAAAACAGTTTTTTACTTTGTGGTTTACTGTGCAATCTCCATTATATAGACTAGCTTCGTTAAGTTAGAGGATTTTTATTAGAGCTCAAAGGACGTTTTTACCCTCGAGACTTCCCAGGAGAAGGAATTTCATACGAATTGGCTTTCGCCCCAAAAAAACTGTTTCCTCTTTCTGGCAATATCTGCACAGGCTTGCTTCTATTGCTCCGAGTCTATATATGTGCCTCCAGTATCGGCAGTCGTAACCCGTCCTAAGTCTCTGACTCTCTTGGCCAATATACATCCACCATTTAGGCCTTCACGCCGACCGAGGACATTTTGCTGTTAATTCTTCCTGTCAATATCTGAACAAGTTTGTTTCTGCTGCTCCAACTATATATGCCATGAATTCTGCAGTTCTACTATCGTTCTAGTCCTAACACGTCCACGGTTTAATAGTACTGCCGTTGTTTCTGCGATGGTCTTTGGTGGACTTTTTCGCCTCTGTACTAAAATACAAACCCAATAAACCGAGAACTTATTATTAAACATCTGATTTTTCTACGTGTTTGGCAATTTGGTATGCCGCAAAAAGCTTCAGGGCTAATAGGTGTCATGATCGAACTTTCATTAGCCAATTTATCAGCCACCTCGTTGCTTTAGTACCCACACAAGGTTTGTTTTGTTGCTTTCCTTAATATCTGACATGGTCTTGTTGCAATCTCAAACAGCTCTGCACTTTACTACCTATGAGGTGCCTTTTGCCTCCTGTCCGACTAGACAAATTTAGGCTATTTTGTGTAATGCCCAGCCTTCTGATCTCCCTGGCTAGATAATGATATATTGCCCAAGGCTTATATGAATTCTAGTTCATGGTGTATCTCAAAAGATACCAGCTTCTGACCCTAACTCGGTGTTAGCTTGCTAGGCTTATATCTAGTCATAAATAGTCGGCACTGGGATGCCTTTTCTTCCTGTGTGCTCTATCGGGGATTGTAATTTTAAATTTATTATCCAATCTAAATTTTGGGATCATATCGACATGCATCCCGTGGAACCTTATCCACCTGAAGTTCTTCTCGTTAGGCTATTGGAATCTGTTTCTGGATTATCCTATGAATTATGGGTTTAGCCTTTCGCTGGGTGTTAGGCAAAGGAGGACCGGGCAATGGCCGTCGTTCTCATTACCCCAGTAATTCCAGGCATGCTTATCTCTCTGCACTACTGAGGATCCTTACCACGCTTAGGAAAGGTATTATTAGCTGCAATACCTTCGTCCACCAAATCACCAATCCGTAGTATTCAAATAACCGCTGTGTATAGCTATAGGGACATCTTTGGACTGTTATTTCATTTAGATCCTAATTCCACGACGTCCATCTTTTCATGGTAAAGTGAACCACTATGGTTTTATTCGGGTTTATTGACATCCCTCCGTTTTGTGACATTGAGTGCGTATCGTAATGACCTCTATAAAGTGTCTGTTTACGACCAGCGACAGGTCATCTTCATCTCAAAGTACGTCAACTAACACTAACCACTATGCGGTGACTAAACTCGACTAAACGAATTTTATACGTATGCCCTGGAAGTCTGCAGTGTCCAGTCAGCAGTCCTACTAACGTTCTGTTGAAATGTCAGCTTGCATAGAGAACCAACAGAGGACATGTTTCGCTGTTTCTTCATCATTTTTGGTTTTTAACTAAAACTTTGTTTCATGAAGTCCCTTCCATTTCTTAACTCCTCAAGAATTAGCTAGGATGGAAGTTTGGTC